GAAGTTGGTTGCCCAAGTAATGGCAAAGTGTTAGGCTCAGGGTTTCCGAAACCCGCCATATGGCCACATATTACGTATATGTATATATATATATATTGAAAGTTATGCGATGCAAGTTATGCGCTGCAATCCACCTTGCAGAACTGGAGGCCGTCAATTCCCCTGCTAGCGCCATTACCGCAACCTCCCAACTCGCAACCTGTTTTGCACAACCCATGTGGCCGCGGTTGCTGTGACTCTCTGGCCCTAACAGGTGCATCTCTGCGGCCGCGCTGGCGCGCGCAAACTTGCGCGCAGAGTGGCCAGCGGGTTTGGCACAACCAATGCGGCCACAATGACCCTTACCGATGGCATCCTCACAGCGCGTCTCAAATGCCGCGCTGTCGTGCGGGCACTTCAATGCGGGTCGGTGACTCGGGCGGGCTCGGTATAATGATGACGTAGACAACGGCGACAACGATGATGATAGTAGCGGTGATGATGGCGATGACGGCGATGACGATAGCAAGCCAGTGAAGTTGCCGGTGCTGGCGACGACCGGCGATGACGATGATGACGTCCATGTGTCGGTGACGCAGGTTTTTGAGTGATGATGGCGGCAATGGGGGCGATTGGCGGTAACGATGACGTGATGTGGCGGCGCTTGTGCGGGCTTTGGCGAGGAAGTACGCCCGCGCGGACATCCAATAACCCTGGCAAGCTTCTGGCGGACAGCCGCCTGGTTTGCACGCGCTTGTGAAGGGCTCTCATTCGGAAGGCTGCGGGGGTCCCGGTGTTGCGGAGCGATTTCGGCACGCGCGCGTGGCGGCGCGCGCGTGTGGCCCGTCGTGTTTTTTGGTGCGGGTTGTGGGATGCAAGTGCGGGGCCTGGACGTGATGGCTAAATACGTATGGTTTATTGTATGCTTTCAGCCAATGCGCGCGGGCACAACACCTTCAATCTGTATGAAGGATGCCCAACCGGTGTTGCATGTTTTCATGCCGAGCTGCTTGCGGGAGTGGAGTGGCTGTTCTGATTTCGACGTGTGCGCTCGCGCGTGTAAGCTCTGTAGCAGTTCTTTCTCAAAGTCTTCTCGAACCATGCTATTGTACGATACGCGAGCGCCCGCACGCTATCACCTGGTAAGGGTTATAAAGGGGGGCGATGCCCAGCCAGCCTGGGATGGTATGGGCTCAGAGGGAAAGAGAAAGATGCGGCAGACCCATAGGTCATTTGCAGTGTCCCAGGGGTGGGGGGTGGGGGGGGGCGATCAGGCCAGGGGGGAGGAGGTCAGTGGGAGTCTCTTCTGCTGCTTTTCTCTTTAAGGGGAACAATGGAGAGAAGCTCAGCCAGCCCACAAGGCGCCCAGGGCCTTCTCACGCCGCAGAGGCACGGAGCTCACAGCCGGCGCCTGGTGAGCCAACCAGGACGGCCACGAGCGGCAGCGTCGCGAAAACCATGGGGTTCCCGGCCCGCCAGTGAGCTGCTCACGAGGCGCCCACGGGCGACCACGCCACGAAAATCCGAGACCAGCCGGCGCAAGGGGGGCGCCGGCGAGGCGCCCGCGGGTGGCAGCGTCGCGAAGACGAGGACTCTGCAGCCAGCGCGCGGGGCGCACAAGGGGCGGCAACGGCGCTCGGACCCTGACCTCGCAGCCAGCGCACGGGGCGCCCACGGGCGGCACCAGGAGCTAGCACTGTGGAGGACGATCAATGGATAGGAAGCATGGTGCCAAATAATTTCCAGATATCTACCAGATGTTTCAAGCATGTGTTAAACATGTAAAAACATGTTTGACACATTTTTAGAACGTGTTTTACACATGTTAAACACATGTTTGATTTAATAATAGGGTTGTTAAAGTGTCCATCGTCATGGCATGCACAAAACTAGCACCGAGTAGCCTTAGAGCCGGGGTAAGAACCTCTAAATGCAAGCGCTGGGTGAGGAAAGTCGAATACCGCAGATGGCGCAGCAAACATGCACATCGTTTGTGACCATGGCAGCATCTAAAGTCGTCGCTGTGCATGACTAGTTTGTTCGGGCACGATGGCGGCCAGTCTCTTATTATTGATCCTCGTTTCCTAGCTCGTCCTAGTCAGTGGTATGCATTATCGATTTTGCGTCCGCTGCATCACGCATCGTGTCGCAGGGGTTCTGTAAGAACCACATGCAAGAACCGCCATTGCACTCGGGGCTGTTCCTGACGACGCCCCGCTCGTGGCGCCCTCGCTGGAGTCGAGTTGGAGAGGGGCGAGAAGGAGGACGAGGAGCAGTATTGGGAGAGGGGCAAAATGGGCTGCAGGAGGGAGCGGCTGTCCAGCCACCCGGCCCCAGGGGGCAACCATTGTTCCCAGCCCGTGCCCCCGACGTCATGCTTTCTCCAGCACGTCCACTCCGGAGGTCTCGACCCGTTCCCCGGGACCAGCTCTCCTTCCTGAGATCGTTTCCTGACGGCCCCGTGGCCTGGCGAGGGCCCCGGAGGCCCAGCACTTGTTTCTACAGCAAAAAAGATAACACGCCCGTCGTGACGCTGTCCTTGCCCGAGGGGATCCGGGACCCCTGCCGCGGTGCCGCGCGCCGCCCCGCTGGCGCCGCGCCGCGCATGGCGGGTGCCGCGGGCCGCCCGGCCGCGGCGCCGCGCCGGCTGGCCGCGGCCCTCAACGGCGCAGCTCGGTGGCTCAAATCACGGGGATCCACCCGGACCAGACGAGTGGCGTTTGCTACACGGCCCTGGGCGTTTAAAAGACAGCCCTGTCCTGTTTGATTCTTTCTGTGGGTGCGTTTTCGAAACGGCTTCGCGTGTCTGGGTGGTTCTTATCAGGGTGGATCTTCTGCCGTCTATCAAAGCTCGGTGGCCGCGTCGTCTTCGTCGTCGTCGTTGTCGTCGCTCGTCGCTGGTCGCTCGTCGTCATGCGCGCGGACGCTGCGGTGGTGCGGGAACCACACTGCCCGGGGGGGGGGGGGCGTTGCGTTGTGCCCCTCCTGCCCCCCCCCATTGCGCTAGTTATCGCCGCGAAGAAAGAGACGGGCTCATGGGGTCCCAAGGACGAGGTGTCTCAAGCAATGTGAATCCACCCTCGGATCTCCTGGTATCCGCAGGACCCCGTCCCTCAGGAACCCATCTTTGAACCACCGATGAGCGGCGGCGCGGCTGCGGGCCGCTGCGGCGCTGGCGGCGGTGCCCTCGGCCGGCGGGGGCGGTGCCGGTGAGGCGCCGGCGAGCGGCTGCCCATCTCAGGCTCGTTGCGGTGGGAGGGGGATCGTCGTCTTTCGCCGCCGTCGTCTGTTATTTAGTGGGAGGGGGATCGTCTTCTTTCGCCGCCGTCGTCTGTTATTTACCATGTCCTACGATGGGGTTCTTTCATTCGAGAGGCTTACGCCCTTCCACCGACCCCCATGACAGTGCATCCGTCAAGACTCCTGCCACCGTCCCTGGCCTGTGGGCCAGGAGCCTTGCGGATTAATATGAGGGTCTCCTGGAATACCTCTCAGAGGATTATCGGAGGGTTCTTGGGGGCATCTGATTGGCTTCGGGGGGCCTCTTGGGCGCCTCTTCGAAGCGTCATTGAAGCCTCTTGGGGCATTCTGGGGGCGTTCCGGGGGCTCACTCGGGAGCTCTTTGGGTCATCATTGCGTGCAAGATTTGGGATGTCAAGTGATCTTGTCCCTCTTGGGGCCTTCTGGGTTCTGGGCCGTCGTGGGAGGCCCTCGAGCCGCCTTGTGCCTTCTTGCTCTTGGGCCCTCTTGGAGCTCTATTGGGCCGTCTTGGGGCCCTTTTGGGGGCCTCATGGGACGTCTTGGGACGACCTTGGCGGCTCCATGGTGCGTCTCATCCATACCCTGGCGGACTGGCGCGTACCCTGGCAAACTGGTACATTCCCTGGTGGCACCTGGGAGTGTACCAGTTTTCGGGCACTCCTCCGGCGAATGTTTCTGACGGGGTCGTCCTGAAAAGGTTTGGAAATCAATATGGTAGGTTTACGTGCAATCACAGCTTCCGAAAAAAGACTAGGGAACGTATAGGTCGGTGCGTGTTGTAGCGCTCGTAGTAACAGTAGTGTCTCAAACCTGTTTAAAATGATGACCCTCCCTCCTTCCCCGCGGATCCCGACTGCCAGTAATTCGTTGCCGAAGAATTATGTTTAAAAAATTGTCCCCCCCTGGAACATATTCCACGGGGACCGAACGATGCGATTGATAAATACACACATGCATGCTTGTATGATCTATGTGAATACACATGTAAATGTGCACAGAGCAACCATTTGTAAATATGGGATTCTGGGAGCCGACATAAGGCCGCCAGATGTTTGTTGTGGGGCTGAGTGGCTTTATACTGCCTCCCAGAATCCCAAATTTACAATTGGTTTCAATGTGTTATTCTTTCACGGTTTCGGGGGTGACACGTGTCGCCCGTTTCCAGAATATGAATGGACTTCTGATGGCCCCCATAATCCCAAATTTAAATGTATAATTTGTTGTTTTGTGTTACGGTTTCGGGGCCACCCGTTGTTTTTTTTGTGAAGATGGCCTTCTGTTGGCTCCCAGAGTCCCAGATTTTTTTGATGATTCTCACACTGTTTCGGGGGTGGCGCGTGTCACCCGTTGTTTTTTGTGAGGCTGAATGACCTTATGTTGGCTCCTTGAAGCCCAAATTTACAATTGGTTTTTCTCACGCGGTTTCGGGGTTGATTTCCTTTTGGTTATGGTGGGATTCTGGCTTCTTGGGGGCCTTCTTGGGTGTTCTCCGCGGCCACGTGGACCCGTCTTGGGGCCATCATGGGGCCACTTGGAGACATATTGGAGGCCATCTTGAGCCAGCTTGGACCATCTTGCGCCATCTTGGAGGCCATCTTTCAGCACCTGGGGCCATCCCGGAACCCCCTTTCTGGGGCCATCTCGGCACCAGAAGGGGTGCGCAAGGGATGGCCCCCGAGTGCGGTTTCTCTCCACGCCAGGGTCGCAGGGCAAGGCAGGCTCGGCGTTTTCTCGGCACCAGTGAGGGAGGGTGTTCACGAATTGGTCCCTGAGCCCAGTCTCGATTCATTCCATGTCGCAGGGCGTGTCAGGTGTAGCACGCTCGCGACCCACAGCGGGTGCGCAGGGGGTGGGGGTGTCCTGCGGATTCTTGAAGATTCCTGCGGGTTCCCACAGGGTTGCGGAGGACCTCCCTAGACGTTACCAAGGAAATCGGGGCAAATTGTCCCACCACTGAGTTCTTGAGAAACTGCCACGGAGCTCCGTAGAAGCTTCCGCGGTTAGCGTTTTCGAAAGGGCCAAAACAACTTGTTGGAAGCTCGCAACAACATTTGGGTATTCTACAATTTCTAACCCCACAACGGGGGAGTGTATCATTTCTCCGGGGAATAGACCAGTTCACTGGGAAAGATACTTCTCCCGCTCTCTGGGCCGTAGCAAACTTCGCCAAGACGAGCAAGCCGTGCATGTCGAAAATGCACGCTTCCCAGAGGGAATGGGGCGATGTTTGTTTCTTGGGGGCCTCGCTGGCCGTCTTGAAGGCATCTTGGACCGTCGCGGTGTTACCTTAGGCCGTCTCGACGCTTCCTTGGATTATCTCGGCGCTTATTGGGCCGTCTTGGGGCTCTTTGAAGGCTCCGGAGAGTCCCGGGAGGTACGTTGGTGAACTCGTACCCCCCACCCCAGCTCCCCCCCCTCGCTTATAACAGGGCGGGGAGAGGGGGAGGGGAGACAGCAAATCATCTCATATGCTTTTCACTCTTGGCAAGCGGTGGTCGGCGAATTATTTGGATGCCGCCGACTTCCTGTACAGACATTCCTCCTCCTCCTCCTCCTGGACTTCCCTTCTCCTCGCTCGCTCACCCAGACCCGCTCACACTCAGACTTATTCATCAGAACTCAGCCTCACCTACATCCAGATTCACTCACGCGTAGACGCACTCACACCCAGATTCGTTCATGTCGAGAGGACTGGGACGCGCTCTTCATACAGGCGGCCCGGATTAGTAGGTCGACCCTGCCAGATCAAGGGTACCCTCGTGTCCTGAGTCTTGCGCCTCATGCCTCCTGCATTTCTGTCGCAACGTGGCCCCCAGAAGGGTATTGTGACCTCTCGCGTGTCCTCTCCAGTCATGTCCGACTGTACTCCTTGAGAGATTCGGGCTCCTTCGTATTCGGATTCCCGGATTGTGAGGATGCCTCGCGCGAGGCGCGCGTGCCAGCACCCCAACCGAAAAGGGGAGCCGCCAGGGGTTCTCCGGCACACCACGGAGGGAGCTGCCAGGGGTGGCTGTGCAGGGCACCGCTCGCGCCCACGGAGATGTCCCGGGCGAAGAAGTAAAAACAAAACAACAACAAAAACAACAACAATAAAAGCAAACCCAAAACAAAGAAAGACATAAAGAACACAACAGGCAGATATGTAAAACAAAAAACCATAGAGATATCTCAGGCGGTTCAAGCGGGGGCCGCCATGGGTGGTTGCACAGCCCCGTTCGCGCCCAGTGCGTGTGGATGTCTCGTGCGTCTTGCCTGTTTTTCGGATGCAGCTCCTGGGAGGTCAACTTCTGATCTTGCCCTGGTCCGAAACCCAGCTCAATCCCGCTTAATCTGGCTTCATCCCACTTAGTCCGAGGCCCATTCCGGCGTAACAGCTCCCAAATGGGGCCTAATCCTCTTAATCTTTCCGACGCAAACCTCCCAGTAGTTGCTTCCTAACTGTTTTGTGGCCCAGGCTCCTCTTCTCTCAGAACAGACTGTCAGGATGTCTCACGCGAAGCGCGGGTTTCAGCACCTGGCGTGGGAGCCGCAAAGAGGTGTTGCACAGGCTCGTTTGCGGCCAGACTGCGGGGCTGACTCGGGCGAGGCGCTTGTCATGGCGCCAACATCGCAGAGCGGATTTCGTTCGAAAAACGGTAGGATGGGCCCAGAGTGTCCTGGAGAATGTCGTTCCAGATTTCGAGGTGAATCTCGTGCGGATCTGTTGTTGACCAGGAATGAAAACCAAAAATAATCCACGCGAAAATCACTTCGTTTTTCGCTCACCGTTTCGGGCAAAAACCCACGCAGAAATCTACACAGAAATCCGTTGCAGCTTGTTTCGTGGTTGGGACTCTTTTGTTTGCAGAGCAGATCGGGAGGATGCCTCGAGCGCAGACGCAGCCTTTGGACACTCCAAGGTGGAAGCGCCAGGGATCGCTCAGTCGCCACAGGCTAAGATTAAGTCGGGCCTGTCCCTCTACAGGAAAAATATTCCAACATAGAAAACATAGCCTGGGGACGTCTCCTTAAACAAAAAAACATACATGTTGGACTGTGTGTGGGACATGTTTTCATTTTTCGCCCAAATCCGCCTGTAGGGGGACATGCCCGACTTAAGACTGAGATTCTCCCATTCAGACTCTCACTGGCGGAAGCGCTAGTAAATGAGATGCACATCTCGGGATCTCCTTGGCGAGCGTCTACTTCTTGTGTGCCTTTTCGGCTCGCTTCGGCCCGCCACCAGGGGCCTCCTGGGGACGTCGGAGTAGATCGGGCACCTCGAGAGGCCACCTTCTGAGGGTCAAGGGCCAAGACCGTAACACTCTTGGCGCAAGGTTATTTGGTTCAGGCGACCTTGGCTGCCGCACGCAAGCCATTGCGCGCATGAGAGGTATTTCGCGGTGATGGCGACATCGCGAGAGTTGGCCGGAGTAGTGCTGATTTTATGTGGGGTTCAATTCTCTGTGGCAGCGAACACGGTTGTCAAGTTGCTCAAGGGCGTGCCAATGTTTCAATTGATGCAGGCCAGATTTCTCTTGCAATGGACATGCAGCATGGGTTTGTCATGTGCGATGAAATTTTCAGGCCGTAGCGTTTGCATCGCTGGCCCGCCGGGATGCAGGTTTTGTTTGGCTTTGCGCGCCACCACTTACACAGCAGCATTAATGTCATTCTGGTGTTCGCTGTGTTACTTGCCTGTAGGGGAAGCCACTGCCATCGTGTATCTCCATCCAGTGTGTTGTGGTTTGCTTGCTCACGTCCTGCTGCATGAACCTCTGGGCCGCATATTTTGGCTGCAAGGAGCAGTCAGTGGCACAGGCGTTGCTCTTGTGGCCAATTTGTACGGTGCGTTGACTGGCGCGGAACACAATGACAGAGCTGGTGGCTTCGCGGGCGAAGGGTTCGCATTATTGGCTTGCCTGTGCTTCGCGTCAGGGAACTGCGTAGTTCGCCTGATGCCCCGGTGCCAACCACTCGAGGTTCAGGTATTTACAGACTCCGTCATTGCACTTGTCGCCATGCCGACGGTTCTGTGCCTCAGTGGGAGCGTTCCAGACTTAGAGTTGTGGAGCGGCACTCGGATGGTGCTCTTGTTGGCCTTCACAGCTTTTGGGATCGGATCTTCCTTCCTCGCGATCTCTGGTTTCAAGATGGCCCCAGCTACGATCGCAGCATTGTTCATGTACTTGGAGGTTCCAAGCTCATTCGCGGTCCAGGTGTTCATCTTCAACGAGATACCAGGCGCCGATGCGGTGTTAGGAGCTGCGCTGATCACATTAGCAGCCTTCGTGCGTCTTGGATACGAGGCGCGACGATCGAGGGAGGACCTTGTAGATCCGAAGGATTTCGCCTCGCCCAACTCTGTTGATATCAACGATGAGTCCACTGATGTCGCGACGCGTCAGGGTACTCTCGAGGTGTGCCTTGGACCTTACATACTTGCGCGGCAGGCCTCAGCGAAGCCCTACACAGAGCGTACACGAGCAGTGTCAGAGTTCGCAGCTGGTTCTATGTTCACCCCCTTGACCGCCCACAGGCAGTTCACTTATTAGCATGCGCGCGTGGGCCTTGCTGCGCATGGCGAGTTTGACGTGCTCTGATGTGCGCCGAGAGCGTCGACCCATGAAGGAACGATGTTCGAGGAATCGTCTAGGGTGCGAGTGAGAGGCGTGTCCTCGCTCGAAGTATGGCGGCCATGCTGCGTACTCGCGCCTGGGCGCACACAGAGACAAGTTTTCGGCCCAGCGCGAGCATTTCAGCACCCCGCTGGGCCCTCTGGTCAAGCCTCCGACCCCCTCCCCTCTCTCCCCTTCCCATCCTGATGGGTTGCTTGAACCTCAGCGCTTGAGCCCTGACGCCATTTTGGCCCAGTCTTCGGGGATTCGCTCGCGATGTGCTTGCTTTCAAGTGCGGCCTCTTCCTGGCCTCATGCCGGGGTGCCGACGAACGTCCCATGCGAGGACACCGCATGTTGTATGTTGGTTTCCCTACGTCTCAGCAAAAAAATGGTCGAGGGCCTAAATTTCGATCACGTCGAAACAATAATGATTCACAGGTCCCGTCGCCGTCAGAAACAATGCCGGGCGGAAGACATGTGTCCAGGAAGGAGTGAGTATTTCCAGGGCCCATTCATCAAACAACACCACGTCGCAGGACTGGGATCGAGGATCGAGGATCCAGTGTGTTGTATAATTGTTCTCTCTTCTTCTAGGCCTCTCGGCAAGGGGGAGCCACCTTAACATCCAGGCGTGATGATGAAGCTGTTTCCCCACAGCCTTCACTTACGCGAAGGGTTACACGTATCCTAAGTATGGGCTTCTTGCTCTTAGTCTAAAGTATCCGAGTCCTTCCGCCCAGCTCCTCCCTCCTTCCCGTCACCTCCCTCCTGCATGTCCATGGTCTTCTCCGACCCACCCATAATGAGACTCTCTCGTAATCTGTCCCACTCACACTGAGACTGAGCCATACGCAGACTCACTCACACTTCGACAGACTCAAACTATCATTCATAATCCGACCACTTCAACTCAGACCTTCCCATGGTCAGACTCACTTGCCATCATCTAATATCTCATCCGGAAAAAGACCACGGTGAGGCTTTGGGGGGACTTTGGGGATCCGTTGGGGAGCCTCGGGGGGCTCCTTTGGACCTTTTTCAGTCTTTTGGGATGTTCTTGGGCGCCAGTAGGCGGTCTCGGGCGCCCTTTTGGGGCGGAGGGTTCAAACATTCAGTTTCAGTTGCCCCTCTTGGGTCCCTCTTGAGCCCTGTTGGGGCCCTGTGGGCTGTCTTGGGTGCTTCTTGGGCTGTCTTGTGGCCCGCGGGCCGTCTTGGGGCTCCCTCGGGGGCTGCTTGGGCCGTCTTGGAGCAATATCGGGGGCTTCTTGAGCCGTCTTGGACGCTGTTATAATTCAGACAACCAAAGAACCGAATATGCTGAACATGCACGTTTTCCTATGGGAGGTGGGCGAGTTGTGCTTCTTGGGGCACCTTTTGGGCTCCTCTTGGAGCCATCTTGGGGTGTCTTGGAGGCTTCTTGTGCCGTCTTGAGGCCATATTCTGTGTTTTGAGGCCTCCTCGACGTGTTCGAACCTGGCTTGAGCCAGCTTAGATGGCATCTTGGGCATCTTGGAGGCCACGGAGTGTAGATTTCGAGGCTCCGGATGCCGCCAGAGGACCCCGGGGTGCATTGGCGAACTCCCCCCCCTTCCTTTAAACAGCAGTTTGGACCCCAGGGGAGGGGAGGGGAAAGGGGAAGGGGGAAAGGCAGCCAATAATCTCACACGCCCTCCCACCCCTTGGCAAGCGGGGGTCAGCGGCCAACTTTGGCTTCTCGTGCACCGCCTAACTCGTTCTGACTCGCTCGCACTCAGATTTCCTCATACCCAGGCTCATTCTGACGCAGCCGCCTTCTCCTCAGACGATTTCCATCCCGCAAACAGTTTGAAACATCAGGCAACAGCATCGCACTTTGACCTCCAACGGGGAAGCCGCCTGGGGGTGTGGCACGTGCCCGTTCGCGTCGAGATGGGTGGCACCTCTAATGCAACATGGCAGTTTGCTGAGGTTTTCAATTCTAGACGCTTCGCGTATCCCCACCAGCCCGTCCAGAAACGACGCCCAGGCGAGTAGAGGGTCGTCCTGAGGGGCTTTTCGGCGTCTTGGGTGCCTCGGGGGGGCCTCTGTGGGCCGTTCGGGATCCTCTTTGGGGCCTCCTGGGGGCCTCTTGGGGCCTCTTGGGGCCATCTTGGGGCCTTTGGGGGCCTCCTGGGCGCTTCTTGGGGCCTCCTGGGCGCTTCCGGGTGCCTCTGGGGGGTCTCTTGGGGCCTCTTGGGGGTCTCTTGGGGGCCTCCTGGGGGCCTCTTGGGGGGCCTCGGAGCCATCTTGGAGGAGATCGATCAACGAAGGGGGGTTCCCTAATTACAGTCCCCCCCTCAGGAGCCACGATCCTCGTGAGGGGTGTCGAATTTTAGCCCTCCCAGGGGTCGATCTTGGGCGCTCCAACGCGCCGCGGAACCCCCTGTCCAGGTCAGTGGGGAGGGGGTAGGGGGAGGGGTAAACCCCTCCCCGAAGGGGAAGAAGGAGGGGTGGAAGAGGAAACGCTCTAAACCACCGACGCCCAGAGGGCTAGTGGGATTATCTGCCTGTACATGTGTGATCGCCGCCATGTGGCAGGCATTGCATGTTGGCCTCCCACGGAAGAGCTGCAAGGGGGTACTGAGACGGCCCCTTCGCGGCCAGACTGGTCGGACCTCTAATTTAATTTGGCAGTGTTTGGAGATAGATCGCTTTTTGGTAACCAGCTGCCTATGGCAAACTGCGCCGTGTGCAAAAGCGCAACAGGGGAAGGAAGCTGAGTGTAGGAACAGCGCAATTCCGACGAGTGGTCTGAATTGGGACGGGTCGTGGGCTCGACCTCGTCTTCGTCCGAGCGGTAGGGAGGAGGAGGAGGAGGAGGAGGAGGAGGAGGAGGAGGAGGAGGATTAGGAGGAGGAGGAGGAGGAGGAGGAGGAGGAGGAGGAGAGGGAGAAAATGGGGACAGGGAGGAGGAGGAGGAGGAGGCTTCTTAGGGGCTCTCTTGGGAGTCCCTTTGGGCCTCCTGGGAGCCTCCTGAGGGCTTCTTGGGGCCTCTTGGGGGCCTCTTGGGGCCTTTTGGCTTGGGTCCCTCTTGGGAGCCCCCTGGGCGATTTGTGGGGCCTCTTGGGCTGACTTGGGGCCCTCTTGGTGGCCTCTTGGTTTGTCTTGGAGCTATATTGCAGGCTTCTTGGAGGCATCTTGGGCCGTCTTGGGTGGTCGGAATTGTTGTCGCTTCGCGAATCCCCACCAGCCCATCCAGAAACGATGCCCAGAGGAATTGCCTCGATCAGAGAAGTGGGCAGCACACAGAGGAAGCCATTATGAGACATCTTGGGATATCTTGAGCCATCTTGGAGGTCATTTTGGGCTCTCCCAGACGCTCTTGGAGTCATCTTAATCCGTGCCCCCCCCCAAGAGGCCTCCATGTGGCTAAAACCTGTGTAGAATCAATGATTAGGCATTCTCGCCGAGGCCTCTTGGAGCATCTTGGGTGCATCTGGGGGGGCTCTTGGGGCCTCTTGGGGGTCTCTTGGGGGCCTCCGGGGGGCCTCTTGGGGGCCTCTTGGGGCCATTTTGGGGCCATCTTGGGACCTCTTGGGGCTTCCTGGGCGCTTCTTGGGGCCATCTTGGAGGAGATCGATCAAACAAGAGGGGGGGTTTAATTAGCGTCCCCCCTCGGAAGCCCCTAAAATCGCCTCTTGGACCCCTCTTGGAACGCTCTTGGAGTGCTCTTGGGCGCTCTTGGGGCCGTCTTGGGGCTCTTTTGGGGCTCTCTTGGGGCCCTCTTGGGCCATCTTGGAACCATCTCCAGGCCTCGGATGGCCATCGGAAGCGAAAAGGCGAGAAAGCAAAAATCATTGATTTTCCTTAGGTTTTGGGACGATTTTGGCCTCTTCGGGGCCTCCTTGGGGAGCTGTTTGGCCACTTGGAGTTATCTTGGGGCCGTCTTTGGGCTTCTTGGAACCATCTTAGGAGCCATCTCGAGCGATCTTGCGCTATCTTGAGCCATCTTGGAGCTCATCTTGGGTTCTCTGAGGCGCTCTTGGAGCCGTCTTGGGCCATCTGGGACGCTCTAACTACCCGCGGCCCCCCCCGTCCAGGTCCAGGGGAGGGGGTAGGGGGAGGGGTAAACCCCTCCCCAAGGGGGAAGAGGGAGGGGTGGAAGAGGATCTGCTCTAGACCACCTACGCCCAGAGGGCTGGTGGGATTCCAAGCAGGCGAGGACCTCAAATCCCTTCAGTAACCTAAGGTAGATCAGTGGTGTTGGCTTCCTCGTGCTCTCCAGGAGGTCCTCTTGGAGCCCTCCTGGGCCGTCTCGGGAGCCCTTGGGGCTGTCTTGGGCGCCTCTCGAGCCGTCATTGCGGCCAATCTGGGCCGCCTTCGTGGCATCGGGGCTGCCGTGGAAGCCGTCTCGGAGGCCATCTTGCCCGTGGGGAGGCCGAGAAGAGCGCCAGGAGACACAGCTGGAGGAGGCGGTTTTCGAGGCACGCACGCCGACCAGGGGTTGGGGATCGGCCCTCGAACGTCCAAACGCCTCCCAGACAACAGGCAAGCATGACGGAAAGAGCGCCAGCGGGAGAAGTTTCGGACGTGCACAGCTGGAGCCGCCCCGATGGGGAGGGTCCCCGGGGGGAGGGGGGCGGGGGGTCGGCGTGGCAGGGCGCGATTTGTAACACGCCCTCCGTGGGTCATGTTGGCGGTGTCTTCGGCCCAGGCGGCCTCAAGACGGCCCCAGGTGGCGTCCAAGACGGCCAAAGATGCCCCTCCAAGACGGCCTCAGAGAGACCCAAGAGTACCGGAAGATGGTCCAAGAGCGCTCCCATAGGGTTCCTGATAGCCGCGTCACGGCCCAAAAGGTCCCCGAGACGCCCCATTATGCCCCCAATAGGATTCCCAGGAGGCCCCGAGGAGGCAACAACTATCAGTTGTCCTTAGGAGCTAAATTGATTTTTTCGGGCCATGAAATGTCAATGACTGCCCTGGGTGCCTTCGAGATAGCGCCCAAGACGTTGCAAGATGCCTCCGAGGGGGTCTCAAAACTATTTTGGCTCAAGCCGCGATACGGGCGAGCATATTCCCGATTTACAGCTTCTGGTCAGGTTTGCGCTTCCCCACCAGCTCTCCTGCACGCGATGACGTCCACCAATGAGCTCAAGGAGCTGAAGCAGAACATGTCGCCGATCGTCGCCTGCTGCTGCTACGAGCTGTCCTGCACTGCCAGCCAGGCCATGGACCCGCCGCTCATGGGCTCCTTCAAGGTTTGCTGCTGCGCGGGATCCATCGCGCTCGAGTGCTGCTGCATCAGCTGCGAGCCCGACCCCTGCTGGTCCGAGGAGCGCGGCTGTTGCGAGATCGCGGCCAAGATGCTCTGCTGCTACACGGAGACGCAGTTCCCCCCCGGCAAGGACATCGGATGCGGTTGCTGCGGCATTGCATTCTGCCGCACGAGCGACGACGCGCCTCCGGCCGAGGAGTGAGGGGCCCTGACTGGGGCAGCTTGTTATGCGCACGCATCGTTTGATGCGACGGTGTAATCTCGTCCGGCGCTTCCCCAGCAAGAGCAAGAGAGGGTTCGCAAAGACGAGTTGCTCGCAGTTGCTGTGCGGGCGTTGGCCTCTTCTGAACTGCTTGTCCGCAGCAAAGGTGCTTGTCTGCGAGTAAAAAAAAGGAGAGCCCCAGGGGGCCACGAGGAGATCCCAAGAGCGCCTCTCAAGAGGGCCCCAAGAACGCCCCCAAGCCAGCGCAAGCCCCCCAAGACGGTCCCTCGGGGAACCCCTCCGTAGCCAGTTTGACGCGATGACGTCCACCGATGAGCTCAAGGAGCTGAAGCAGAACATGTCGCCGTTCGTCGCCTGCTGCTGCTACGAGCTGTCCTGCACTTCCAGCTAGGCGATGAATCCGCCGCTCATGGGCTCCTTCAAGGTTTGCTGCTGCGCGGGATCTATTGCTCTCGAGTGCTGCTGCATCAGTTGCGAGCCAGACCCCTGCTGGTCCGAGGAGCGTGGCATTTGCGAGATTGCGAGCAAGCTCTTCTGCTGCTACACGGAGGTGCAACTCCCCCCGGGCAAGGATATCGGATGCGGTTGTTTCGGCGTTGCATTCTGCCGCTCGAGCGACGACGCGCCGCCAGCCGAGGAATGAGGGGTCCCGCTTCGGGGCGCTTCTTATGCACCCGCGCAAACCTTTAGATCTTACGGTGTGACCGCACTCAGAGATCCTTTTGCGATTGTTGTGGGGATACAGGGCTCTTCTGAATTCTGCCGGCAGCAAATAATCTTGGTCTCGAGAAACAGAGGACCCTGGGGAACCCCGAGAGCGAACAGCGACGTAAGCAACTTTGAACGCCGAGGCCCCCAAAAGCGAACGGTGACGTACATGGCTCTGATCACGAAGGCCCCCAAGAGCTCACATTAACGTGGCAAGTTTTGAACGCTAAGGCTCCCAAGAGCGAAAAGTGACGTCAAATAATTTGAACTTCAAGGCCCCCAAGAACATACGGTGACGTAAAACACTTTGAACATGGAGTCTCCCCAAACGAGCGGTGACGGTAAAAGCTCTGAGCACCAAAGCTCCCCAGAGTTTCTAATGGCGTGACAGGCTTTGACAACCAGGGCTACAAAGAATTAAAGGCACGTGACAAGTTCTGAACACCCAGGTTCCAAGAGCGAACAGTGACGTGGAAAAACACCCAGTACGAACGATGATGTGAAGAGCTCTCAACGCCAAGGCTCCCAAGAGCGAATAGTGAGTTGGAAAGCTCTTCACGCCAAGGCTCCCCGGAGCGCACGGTGCCAACAGCCCTCCGGGGAAAGAGTTGGCCCGGTGACGGACGCGTGTTGGATCGTTGTAAGGTACTCGCCGATTCGGACCAACAACGGCAAAAGACGGCTCGAGGGCGGGCCCCAAAGACGGCCCAAGAAGGCCCCAAGATGGCCCAAGAGGGCCCCAAGAGAGCCCAAACATAGCCCCCAGAGGCCCCTAAGGGAGCCCCAAGACGGCCAAAGTTTCCAAGGACGAGCCCAGGACGACCCCAGATGGCCCCAAGACGGCCCTCGAGGTCCCCAAAACGACCCCCAAGAAGGCCCAGAGACGTCACATTCAACTTGTGGCGTCCAAAACCTGGATAGCGTCGCAGTCCAGAGCGCGTGTACTGCCTATGGGAGACGCTTGCCGGGACGCTGGAAAGCATGCCTGAGGAGCTTGCAAGCTTCGAAGAGCAAGCTTTGCAGGAGCTTCGAAGGTGCTGCGATGGACCTGCGGAGAAGGCTTCCAGCACGCGTATTGGGAACAAATAGGACAACGCTTCTCGGGACCCGTTGCCGGCTCAAGCAAGCCGCTGCGGCGTTGCCTGACCAGGAGCTTTGGAGAGGAGCTGGCGTAGCGCTGCCTGCCGACTTCTTATCTAACAACCCTCTCGGCTCTCCCAGGAACTATGCGGGAATGATTTTCGTAAGGTTCTTGCCGGATTTTTGCTTCACCACGCTACAAATTCTAAGCACCAAGGCTCGAAGGATGGACGGTGTTGTGAGCCCTCGGGCCTCACGACGGCACAGTGACGGGTACAGCTTTGATGCCACAGCTCCTGTCCCCAGACGACCCAGTGACGGACACAGCTTTGACTCGAAGGTTCCCAAGAGCTCAAAGGTGGCGGAAGACGCATGTTTAGGCGAGTCGGTGGTTTAAACAGGTTTGCACGTCAAGCCTCCTAAGAACTCCCGATGAAGTGAGAAGCTCTGAACGCCAAGGCTCCCAGAACGAGCGGTGACATTGAAATCTTTTGTTACCTAGGCTCCCAGGCTCTCACAGTGACGTGGCACACTTCTAAACACCAAGGCTCTCAAGAGTGAATGGGCTAGTTATTGTGATGATGTGGCGATCATGTCGACGATATGATGATGAAGTTGATTATGATAGTTGCTGTGGTGATCACAGCGAAAAAGATGATGATGATGGTGATGGTGGTGATGCTGACGATGGTGGTGTTGGTGATGCTGATGCTGATGCTTATGATGCTGATGACGATGATGACAATAATGGGGATGATGATGGTGGTGTCGATGATGCTGGTGATAATGAGGATGAGGATGAGGATGATGATGGCAGTGATGGTGATTAGGCGGATGATGATGATTACCATGACTGTTTCGATGATGATGTTGATGACGATGACGGTGATGATGATGATGCTGATGATGATGATGATGTTGTTGTTGTTGGTGATGATGATGATGTTGGTGGTGGTGGTGATGATGAGGGCGACGACGATGACGACGATAATGATGATGGTGGTGGTGATGATGTAGGTGATGATGCTGATGATGGTGATGATGACGGTAATGGTGATGGTGATGATGATGATGATGCTGCTGCGGCTGATGATGATGATGATGATGATGATGATGATGCTGATGCTGATGCTGATGCTGATGCTGATGCTGATGGTAATGGTGGGGGTCGTCGTCGTAAACCTCGTCAGGTGACAGGAGGTCGGCGAAGGGCAGATGACAGCCCCTGGGTGTAGGGGCTTTGCTGTCCGGGTGTCGGGACTGGGCCTCCCTCCGCCATGGGTGTAGGGACCGGGCTGCCCCACGGGATGAGCGTGGAAACTTGACTACTTTCGAGGGGCCCCCTCGAGCTATCCTGGAACGCTTCTGGGCCGTCGTGGGGTGCTTCGGCCATCTTGGGGGTCTTTCGGAGTTCCCTTGGGGCCCTCGGGGGTCTCTCTGGGAAGCTTCTCGGGAGTCTGAGGATTCTGCGTATCCAGGCCTTCGCTGGGTTCTTTGAGGGACCCTTCTTCGCCGTCTAAGATCCCGAGCTCAGTCCAAGAACCCCGCAAGCGGATAGGAGGGGTGGGGAGGGATGATGGTGATAATGGCCATCAAGGTGAGGTTGATGCTGTGGCGATGACGCCGAACACGACGACGACGTTGAATGTGATGGTGATGGTGGTGCTGATGGTCAGGATGGTGATGATGATGGTGGTGATGTTGATGATGGTGATGGTGATGGTGATGGTGCTTGTGATGATGTTGGTGATGGTAATGGTGGTGATGATGGTGATGGTGATGTGGTGGAACTGATGGGGATGGTGGTGGTGGTGGTACTGATAGTGGTGGGTGATGCTGCTGATGATGTTGATGATGATGGGGTGGGGAGGGGGGAGCATTCCAGATAACGGCCGTTATCGCGAATTCTGAAAACGTGTTCGCTAAACATCTCTAAATTCCAGGGCTCTCCAGAGTGCGTGGTGACGTGCCCAACTCTTCACACTATGGCTCTCAAGAGCGAACGGTGACGGCCCAAATCTTAACGCCAAGGCTTCCAAAGGCGAGCGATGACGTGAAACAAATTTTACACCAAGGCCTCGAGGAGCGATCGGTGACGTGAAGCAGCTCTTAACGCCAAGACCCCCAAGAGCGAACGGTGCCATGGGCCTTCTCGGGCGAGTTCTTGAAGCGCTCTTTCCGTTCCCATGCCGGCCCAGGTTCTAACACGTTCGCTTCGTGCAGGCACGGTTGCGAATGACGGGAAACGCCTCTGGCGTGCACCGTTTGTCCAAGGGGATTCATCCTCTCTAAGTAGGAAGTGCGGATTGCACCCTATAACTTCGCTGGCGGATGACGGGAAACGCGCTTAGACTCGAAGAGTCGCGCGATGGACGTTGCATCCGGGCCTTTAGGCAAAATTTTGATCAATGGGGGGGTCCAGGCGGTGAGTGGTGGCGGGGTTGCTCCTCCGCTGGGGACCTGGCGGATGACGGGAAGCGCGCTTAGAAGGCCCTGGCTCGAGCGATTTTGGCATCGTTTCTCGTGTCTGCGGGGTCGCAAGCCCCCGCACAGCATGATCATCAGTCGGTGGCGGGACATGTCGTGTTTCGTTTCTCTCCTGCGCGCCATCGCTAGCCGAAGTTCATTGCGCTGGAGGGCCGAGCGCTCGGTGGCGGCACGGCCACCGTGGAGCTCCGTGTCGCACGATGACTCCTATGACGGCAGCGAACCAGTGCACAGCATATGGAGCTATCACCGCGCCCACCGTGCTGTGCTCGCCAGAGGGCGGTTGTGGCCTGATGTCGACCTTCATGTAGGCCAGGACGTCGCGGCACAATCCAACTATGTGATTACCTCAGACGGCGACACAACTTACTCGCATGAAGTTCGGATCTGGGATCGCCCCGGCTCCATCATCACGCCTTCCCCACGGCTAGAGTCCACGCGGATTGCTTCGCGGTGGACTGGGACAACTGGTGGGCAGCCAAGCAGTCTGCCAAGGAGCGTGCAGCGGCGGTCCTTGCAGGCATAGGTGCCAGCAAAGGAGCGGACCCACCGCGCGGGTGCCCACTGCCCGACCCTCGGGCCAGTTGGGTGCGCTTCTTGGACAGCCTGACCTACCACTACATCGAGGAAGAAGTTGATGGTGCACAGTGTCCTGGGCGTCGACGCTACCTACCGCACGACCAACGACCACCACCTGAAGAAGAGGCTCAGTCGGTGAAGGGGGAATGAGACGTCCAAGTGCACCGGTAGTCTGCCAGCTACTGCAAGGGGCAGGTCCAGCAGGTGGGGCATCGGCAGGGCCACCTCGACAACTGCGACGCCATCCCCTGGGCCCAGGAGAAGGTCGCCACATGAGAGTGCATCCGCGCCAGCCCATGAACGGGAGGTGCGTCGCTGGGCGCGGAACTGGATCCGCGGCGCGAGGGATGGAGCCCAACCAGATGACGAGGCTGGGTGGAAATGCTGGTGCGAGGCCGGCCTCGCAGTGGAGTTTCAGCATCTGCGTTTTCAATGGGCGCTAGCAGCTCGGGGTCCAAGTGCAGCACAACTTGCGCGCGAGAGTTGTGACCGCGCGCGGCGCAAGGGCGCCAACCGCAGGGCTGCTTTCCTGCGATGGCTCGAGGCGCTCCCGCCTGCAGCACGGAGCGCTGCGTGTGGCATTCACCAGTATGGCCAGGATCAACTACGGAGCTGGACCGCCAATCCGAATAGGGCAGGACCAGCACCACCCACAGAGAAGCCTCGACGTCCATGCTGGCAGCCGCGTCCGCGCTAGCACTCGGGGACGACGGCATCTGCAATATTTGCGGCCGCCTGCGTCGCCGCCCATGGCCTGCGCCCGTGTCAAGCGGAGCGCTGCTTCGTGGTAGGGTGCCCGGACAGCGCGAAGGAGGGCAAGGTCCGCTGGATCGGAGCGACTGGCCGTCACCGCGTGCTGATCGCATCCATCCCACAACCCTGCGCGGCGTTGAAGTGGCAGGAGCTCGAGGGATTTATGATCGACGACGACCATGCTCCTCGGACCACGCCGCGAGCTCAAGGAAGTGAAGTAGTAGACTGGGCTGTTGGGTCTACGCCAGGTGAGTCCATCAGGTTGCATGCGCCAGCCCTGACTTATTCAGTTAAGCCTGCTGCCGGCGCCTGGTTTAGTTTTGTGTTTTTTTCTGTTTCCAACGCTTGTGCCTCTGCGTCCGCCCCCCTTCCGTCTCGGTTCGCTGCGTCGGTGACTTTGCGTTTGGCTTGGCTCGCAGCCCTGCCCCTGTAAACCCTGGAGCGCTGCCGACTTCGCATTGTTGGCAATGGCGCCCCCCGCCATGCTGCACTATGCATATCCCGCGCATGATGTGTTGCGCCGTTTGAAAATCGCTGCTCGCCGCCATCCCGAGGCCAGGGGGTCGCATGCTAATGCGCGGGCTCCCCGCCAGTGGGTGGTAAGCTTCGTGCGTTGCGTCCGTGGGCGCGCGGGCGCGCGGGCCGACCTGGCGGCTGGCTCTGCGAATGCCCGCGAGACCTCAACGCTGGGTGGCGTCTTTTTTTTTATTGAAAAAAGCGCGCTTTGAAGGCCCTGGCTTGAGCGATTGTGGCGTTTTTTCTCGTGTCAGCGGGGTCGCGAGCCCCCGCGCAGCATGATTCTTAGTCGATGGCGCGACATGTTTCGTTTCTCCTTCTCCTACGCGCCATCGCTAGCCGGAGTTACTTACGCTGGAGGGCCGAGCCTTCGCTGGCGGCACGATCGCCGCGGAGCTCCATGCCATCCGACGATGGCGAGTGTCGGGGCGACCCAGCGCGCCGCGCGCGGAGCCATGGCCGCGCCTGTCGAGCCATGCTCGCCAGAGGGCGAGTGCGGTTCAAAGGGGGCCCTGCGCGAAGTCCAGGACGCTGCGGCGAAGCTCTGCCGACCGGCGGCGCACGGCGGCGCGGCGCTCCCACCGTCGCTTCCCCCGCCGGCCCATTGCGCCCCACGCCGCGGCTACGTCGAGATGTGGCCGTGCAACGCCGAGACAATGCTCATGCCTGGCCGCTTGGACAAAGTTCTCCGACGCGCGACGGCTGCCCGCGTCGACGTTCTTGCCCTGCAGGGCGCCATGCTCTCCATCGAACACCAGTGGGAGAGCCCCGACTACATCACCGCGCCTTCCCCGCGCTCGGCTCGACACTTGAAGGGCGGGGTCGCCATTGCTATATCCAACCGAATTGCTCCGCGGGGGGTGATTGCAGTTACGCGCGGGTGGCAACTGGGGGGAGCTAGCGGGCATTCGGGTCCAACGCGAGCCCCACATCGACTTCTGCGCCCTCTGTGGATGCGCCCCAGCTGACAAGCCCCAAGCCCGACCCATCACAGCAGCCGCCCACGTGGCATTCCGACGCGACAAGGACTAGCTCTTTGACAGTCTGAATCGCGCGCTGGGCTGCGTCCCCGCCCGCTGCGCTATATAACCGGCCCTGGATGGCAACGGTAGCATGGCGCCGTCGCTACCTGAAGTAGGACATGCCAGTTCACGGAGACGGCGTCGACCGCATTGGGCCGACAACGGACGACGCCTCCATGACATCCTCTCCCACTGCAGCATGCGCGCCCTAAACACCTTCGGCCCGGCAGCAGGACGCAGCGCGACATGGAGGAACCCTGACGGTCAGGGTGAGACGCGGATCGACTACGTCGCCACGTCGCGCAGCACGGGCTCCCAGGATTTCGCGCGGGTCATTCGTGAGACCCCACTGGCCTTGGGCCCCTTCTAGAGTTCATATGATGGCCGAGGCCTCTGTCCGAGTGGGTCGACGCGTTGCCAAGCGACCTCCCAGGGCACCGACGCCAACTTGGCACAGTTAATATATGCTGAGTTCCCTCCAGGCATGGCAGCGCTGGTCGACCGCCGAGGCGGGGGACCCAGGCAGTGGAGGCCCACTGAACACCGCCATCAGCGACGCGTTGCACTTCCAGGACCGCGCGAGCCACGCCATTGCCTCCGTGGACCAGGCCCTTGCGCAAACCTCCCCTGCCTATTATTACGACTTCTTCGAGCTGGCGGTGGCCTCGGCCGCGAGCGGTTTCCCCGCGCCCGGGCAGGAGCGCCAGTTCTTTGCCCTCTCTGCCGACACGGTCCGACTGGTCAAGCAGAAGCAGGAGGCCATCAGGTGGGCCACTTGGCTCGCCGACCAACGAGTTCCTACTGGCGTGCTTCTCACGGCGCAGACCAGAGCTCGACTCCCCTCACTCACCGCTTAACGAGCTACGCGCGCTGAACGACGCCAGGCAGGCGCCGACCTTGCAGACGAGGCCAGAAAGACCACAGGAAGTGCCAGAGTACCATCAATCGGATAGCCCCCAGACCGACACCAGCTTCAGTTACTGTGGTGGGACCCGACAGATTGCCCTGCGTAGGCGCGATCACGGAGACCCAGGCTTGCAAGCAGGCACTGCTGAACATCTTCAAATGCACGGAGACCCCCCTCAACGAACGCCCACCACCTGCAGCGCCACCTCCGACGACTACGGAAGCCCAACCACTCTTGCACCTGCTCCACTGCACCACTAGCGACGTCAATCACATCGCCGACCTCATGCCCAACCACAAGGCCGCTCCACCTACCGACACTACGCCAGGCGGACATCCACGCGCGCGTGGTGTGGTGGCTGAGCTCTGGAAGATGGCGGGTTCGACAGTAACCACTGCGGTGCCGTCGCTGATCCAGGGAATTGCCAACTACATTCAGTTTCCCGCACAGTTCAAAGATGGCGTCGCGACACAGCTACGCAAGCCCAACAGCGATGGCACGCACCAGCGCCCGCGATCACTACAGGACGCTCAACGTCCCCAGCCGCCTCGGCACGGGCGTCTCCAAGTCCATGATCCGACCATTCATCGGACAGGCTACCGCCAAAATCGAGCCCACCCAGTTCGGGGCGACGGCGAAGCGTGCCGCTCAAGATACCATAGCGATGATCGGCGACATGTTTCGCCGCTTTCGGGTCGGGGCCAGACATCCCAAGCCGGGTGAAATTATGGTGGGCGTCTTGGATGACCTGGAGATAGTCTTCTGCCCAGGAATGCCATCTGGTCCAAGGTCCATCGCCTGGCCGAGTCTGCTGGGTTCACCCTCCTGTACTCCGCATTGCACAGCGGCGCCTGCTACTTGCTTAAGGACCCGAAATCAGGTATCGGCGGCGAAGAAGGGCCGCTCCTGTTCATCACGGCGTACAATGTCGTGCTCACAGCGCATCGCGTTGGCAAGGAGGAGCGCGCCATCCCGCCGATCACTGCCACCCTGGATCTCGAGTGCGCCACCGCATGTCTCGATGTGCCCTCCGTGTGCTTTGTTGACGACCTATTCGCGCTTGCTGTCTTCGAGGATTGGACGGAGGTCACCGATTTCATTGCCTTCATCGCTTCAGTGCTGCGGGCCAAGGATTATCGCATGAATGCGCCCAAGGCGGAGGTCATTGCAGTGGCTACTGGCCGCGGCCCCTGACGCCTCCATAAGGATATCGCTGCGCGTTCGGCGGGGGTGATGTGTGACGGACGCCCTCTCCAACCACAGGGTGCAGTACCATGCTTGGGACTTCAGATTTCAGCCACTGAACGCGAGGCGAACGTTGCTCGCGCTCACCATGCCCCCAAAGTCTTTCGTGAAGGTTTCATCCCTCTTCAGCTCCGCGTGCGACTGTGGCTCTTATTGGCGCGCGCGATCGCTCTGTGCGGTCTAGAGGCGTGCATCCTGAGCGACGGGGCCCTGGCCCATCTGGAACGGTGGCAAGCTACAAAGCTCCGCAGCGCGTCGAGGCTTCCAGCCCACATGACAGCGACTACGAACGAGGAGGTACCCGACGGCTCAAGGTGCACACTATCCAGTCTGTCTTGCGTTACCGACAACTCTCGTGGTGGGGGGGAATACCCTTGCCCATCTACAAGCCTGCGGCTGCCCCCTATGATACCCCGATCGCGGTGAGAACATGATTGCTGTGTACCTTATCCTTTGAACGGGCGGGCGGGGCAGCCGACCGCCACCGGCAACTGCTTACTGATCTGGCGTGCCTGTGCGCTGCTCTTCCGCCAGAAATGCAATGCCAGCCTGCCCTCCTGGTTTCGTTGCCCCCCGAACTCTTCAGATGATCCCTAGAGCTCCCTGAGGCGCGCCTCGCTATGGTCCGCAGTTTCAGCTCGACGGTTGAGGATCGACGCAAACACTATCGCGCAGTGGTCCCTGGAGGCCCGCGGGTGGAGGAGGCGACGGAGGAGCGGGAGGCCATGATGAGGGAGGCTTTGATGACCTTCGCCATCGCTGCCACACCGACAATCTTGAGTTTCAGGACAGCCGTGCTCTCAACATTCACTTGGGTCTTCAACGCCATGAACATGTGACGGGGGTGGCTCCGACGCAGACCCCTCGCTCCAGCGTGCCAAATGCGGGGCCCAGTTCACGAGAATTGACTCCCTCAAGAAACGCGTTCGGGGTCGTCGCCGTGCTGCCGTTGCCGCTAATGCTCGAGCCGTTTCGGGGGACACACTACGACACCCACCACAGCCTCCACCACCTGGCCTGTCCTCCGACGTTCAAGGGGGCGTCCGAGGGAGCCCCAGCCGAGCCCGCCACGCGCCAGAGGGCCGAGGGCGAGGCGGCGAACGGCAGCGGGGATGCCAGCTCTTCCATGCCCAGCACGCAGCGGGCGCCGCTGAAGGAGACGACCAAACTTGTTCTCCAACGCGAGGACAGCCACCGCGCCGCCCACCGCGAAAACAACGTGGTCCTCGAGCTCGACAGCAAGGCCAAACTGAAGCTGAGCCTGGACCGAGCGATGGACTCCTACGACTCCGAGGGCAAGGCGGCAAAGGCGGCCGCCGAGAAGGACGAGGTGCACGCAGGGCATCCCCAGGGCAAGCGCCCCGACGCCCTGTTCCGAGCAGTTCTGCACCACCTACAATTGGCCCGTCGCGAGCAAGAAGCTGCCCGGTCGGAGGACATGACCGAGAGCGGCCAACAGCAGGTCTTCCTGGCTTCGAAGGCGGCGGTGGCAGCTGGCGAGAAGGCTCCTCAGAAACGCTCGTTCCAGGCGACGCGCTGCTTCGTCGTGGAGTGTCAGGGCAGCGAGAAGGAGGGCAAGGTCCGCTGGGCCGTGGCGGCCGACCGTGACCGCGAGCTGATCGAATCCATTCGCACCCTCCGCCAGGCGTCGAAGTGGCAGCGGGTGACGGGCACGCATATCGACGACAACCATGCCCCGCGCTCCATGGCCGCCAAAAAGGTCGAGGAGCTAGCGATCAAGCCCAAGGCAGAGGCAAAGGGAAAGAAGACGCGAACTTGAAACGGATGTTGGGTATTCTTCCTCGGTGAGACCACTCGACCCGTTTCGCTTGCCACCCAGTCTCTACTTCCAAGCGGCTGCAATGTGTAGTTGTCTCTCCTGGGCTGGTCGGGACCACCGCGGCTAGATTTTGCGCCGACAGTTCGTTGCCAATCGCGCGGTTAGGGGGTCGCTGACTGCCAGGCGACGGGTCCATCAGGGGATGGGCGCCTCGCGTGATGTGTGCGTGTAAGCACACGTGCGCAGGCCACTCTTCGGCAGGCCTTGTGGGAGCTCGCGAGACCTCTTGCTTGGGGTTGCGGCAGTAAAAAGTGCGCGCTTCGACTCGGAGGGTCGCGCGATGGACGTGTGTGTGTACCCAGAGGGATTCGGTGTCAACTGCGGAGGTCCAGGAGGGGGAATGCGCGGGGATGCAACCTTTACCCGCGACAGGTCGGATGACGGGAAGCACGCTCAGACTCGAAGAGTCGCACGATGGACGATGTTATCGACCAGGGAGGGTATAGTACGAGAAACACATGTCCATCTGGGGGGTCCAGGAGGGAAGGGCTCGGGGTCGCTCCGTTGCCCAAGACCTGGCGGATTATGGGAAGCGCCTTCTCGGCATGATAAGGTGTTGGGATTTTGTTTCGCCGCCAATCGAACGACCCTAACACAACCCGAAGGTTCCGATTGGCTCTCCATTTCCAGTGTGGTGGGTCGGGGATATGAAGCCCGTACCCCCCCCAAAAACCCGACATTCGGGTCTTCGGGTCGGGCTTGGGTGGTTTGGTAGGTAGTCATTGTTAGGCCGTCCTCACTAGAGACTAATGAACAAATAAGACGCGAGGGACCACCTGGATCGGGATCGCAAAACAAATTCCGCTCTGCGGATTACGCGAAGCGCCTTGTCGCAAAGAGAAGATGCTGGGAGTTTGTTAAGCCATACTTACGGTGGGGGCGTTGGTTAAGGAATGCGGCCAGGATGCTGCAGACCTTGGAGGGTTCCTTATCTCATGAGGGCGGCGGTGTTGTCCATGGCCAAGCCTCGGTTGGCTTTGCACTGGCTTCCAAACCCTGGATTATTCATCGACGTTTTCCTTATCTAATGCCACCACCGTATCAATTAATATAGAGCTCAGACGCGAGGGACAATCGGATCGGGATCGCAACACATGTTTCGCTCGGCGGACTCCCTCTGCTTCGGCCGCTTCGCTCGGGCCGTCCTCACACAAAACTGCAGGTGTTGCGCGGGCTGCTCGTAAGGCGCTCTCTGTTGAAAACGAGGCTTCCGATGACCCCATCTTGCGATGCCATGCCTCGAGTTGGGCCGATGCGCGACGAGAGGGCCCCAGGTGCCGACATCGGACAGGAACCCGTCCTCAAAGACCACGACGCCCGGACCTGCGGGCCCTGGGGCCCCTCGCGCGGCGCCAGGCCAGCCTGAACGGCCTCCAGTGCTACGGACTCGAGGCCGACCCCGCGGGCGCCACCGGCGCCAGGCTCTGCCGGGCGGCGTGCTGCGGCGACGCGGCGTGCGAGGTGCGGCCGTCGCCGCCGTAGCCCTCGCCGCTGGAGCCGCCGAGGTCGCCGCCGTCGTCGCCGCGGCCGCTGCAGTCGCCGCCGTGGTCTTGTCCGTCAGGGCCGTCTCCGTCGTCACCGCCGTCGCCATCAGCGTCGTCGCCGCAGCCGCAGCCGCCACGGTCGACGACGTCGCCGACGCAACCGCTGCCGTTGCAGGCGTCGTCGATTACGTTGCGGCCCAGCGCCGTCACCGCCGTCGCCGTCCAGGTCGCCGTCGTCGCTGTTGCCGTCGCCGCCGTGGCCGCTGCCGCATCACACCATCGCCGCCATCGGCATCGTCGCGGGGCCCCATCTCGCCGGAACCCGCGAGGTGTGGCAGTGGCACCCAAGCCAGGTCTGCTACCGGGGCAGGGCCTCCGCGTGCCTGCAGAGCGCGAGCTTCTTCTCCCGGGGCAGCGTGGGCGAGAGGCTGCGCGCGAGCGCCGCCGCCGCGGGTCCCGCGGAGGGCCTGCGGCAGGCGACGTCGGCGCACCCGCAGCTGGCCTGGGCTGGCCAGGAGAGCGACTACGCCGTGGTGGCGCCGATGGAGCCCTACGGGGACGGCCCCGAGGAGCTCAGCCTCACGACCTTCGCGGGCGAGCGCTACGTTCTCCGCCGCAGCGGCCCGGGCCCCCATGAGCTCCACGTCGCGCAGTCGTGCTGGTCGGCCACGAACAGCCCGCACGAGTGCTGTAGTCCAGGCTCGGCGGCGCGCTGCTGGCACAGCAGCGAGCACTGGAGCCACTGCTGCGGCCAGGGCGTCACCTCGTTTGCGGAGCACACGTGGAACGTGGTGTACGACATCTACGTCAGCATCTCCGAAGGCTCGCCCCGTCCTTTCTCTGCCTCTCCCGCCCTTTGTCTCCCTGCTCCCCGTCTTTTCTCCTTCCTCCAGTTGCGTCTACGCTCCCGGTGGCGTATCGTGTGGCGTTCCTGGCTCGCCCGGCGGTCTCCGATCTCGCGCTGCGGAGCCCGTCGTGCGTCGGGCTTGTGGATAACAGCAGATCTCAGAAGGCATGGGGGACGGCCAGCTGCAGCAGTTTCAGTCGCTGCTGCCAGGGTTCCGCGTGGACGAGGGCGCGTGGGACCGCAAGAGGCTCCGCTGGAGAATCGGCGGCGAGCAGGTCTCGCCCTACTGCCATTCTCGGGGCAGCGGCAACCAGGTGAGGCGTTCCAAAAAGGGCCTTGCCTTCGAGGATCGAAGGAGTTGTCATCGCCTCCTCGGCGAGAGGCGGCGGAAGGGCGTCGGAAGGTCGGCGGGCGTAAAGTGAGGCCGCCTCCGCCAGCGGAAGCCGGCGGAAGGGCGGCGGAAGGTGGCGGAAGTGCAAAATGCGCCCCCCAATTAGGGATGACGACATGTTTGGGTTCAGGGATTCCTGAATCCGCCAGGTAGAGGAGACTGGGTCGATCCTGACGTCTCTGGTTGCGATGCTGGCGGCCACTGGAGCGGGCCTCAGTCGCACATTCGTCAACGTCGGCGCTGGCACGTGCAGGCCGCCAGACCCGATGTACGACCTGCTGCATTCCGAGAGGGGCCGCGGCTTCCGGGGCCTCGCGGTGGACGCCAACAGCGACGATCTTGCCGAGTGCCCTAAGTCGCTGGCGAACGCCACCGCGGACGTCAGGCCGGTGCTGCTCGCCGTGGAGCCGGCGACGGTGGGCGACCTCCTGACGCCGCACCTCCGCGGCCTCTTCTCGGGGGAGTCGCGAGGGGCACCCTTCCCCCTCGACATCCTCGTCGTCGACATCGACGGCTGCGACTGCCTTGTCGCAGAAGATCGGCGGCGAGCGAGGGGGGGAAGTGAGAAGGAGCAGGCCTTCTCAGAAGGCGGTGGGATTTCTCAGAAGGCCTCGCGCCCTCTGAGAAGTCTTTAGTGTCTTCGCGGAAGGCTTAGACAACTTCTCGGAAGGCCGGGGTACTTCCGAGCCTGCTGAGAAGGCCTTCTCATGCTCACTTCCCCCCTGGGCTCGCCGCCGAGAAGAGATCTTGCGGGTGGCCAGGCCCAAGTTGCTCATGCTGGAGATCACCTTCCACATCCCGCCGCCCTTCCGCTTCTCCGCCCAGCACAGCAGCGCTCGCTCCCGCGGCTGGCTGGAGCGGTACGACGTCCGGCAGTTCAATCCCGCCGGCGGCTGCTCCCTGAGCTACGCGCTGCACCACCTGCGACCGTATTGGGGGAACGAGGAACGACACAAACATCAAAACTCGGAGGCCCGCGCGGCTTTCTCGGATCCGCGCTGGACCTGGCGCCGCCTCCAGCGCCGCCCCTGGCGCGCTCCGCGCGCCGGGGAGGGGGGTTTTCGGGGATGCAACTCCTGGGAGGTCAAATTCTGATTTTGCCCTGGTCCGAAGTCCGGCTTAATCCCGCTTAATCCCGCTTGATCCCGCTTTGTCCGAGGCCCACTCCGGCGTAACAGCCCCCCAACTGGGGCTTAAGGCTTAATCCTCCTTAATCTTGCCGACGAAGACCTCCCAGTAATTGCTTCCTAAAAGGGGTCCAGCGCCGATCCGAGAAATCCGCGCGGACCTCCGAGTTTTGATGGTCCTGTCGTTCGTCGTTCCCCGAGGTACGGCATGCACCTCCTGCGGCTGACGCACAACGACGCCATCTTCGTGCACGAGTCCGTGGGCCCGCTGCTCGAGGGGCCCTTCCAGGTTTGAGTCGGGATGTGTCCCCCTACAGGAGGACAATTCAAAACTAGTCCAAACAATAGTCTGGGGACGATTGTTCTAGTCTGTTTTAGATATGCTAGCATGTTTTTTTGATATTTTTGGTTTGCGTCCAAAACGCGCCTGTAGGGGGACATGCCCGACCTGATTCCAGGTGCGGCTGCCCCAGGACGAGTTCGCGTGCTACCGCCGGAGCCACTTCTGGCTGCAGATGCCGGTGGCCCGCGTGCGGGAGTGGTTCTTCTCGGCGCACCCGGCGGACTCGTTCGACAGCATTTGGGGGAACATCTCCAGGGTGAACGAGGATGGTGCCCTCCCCCCATGCTGGGTGATCCCCGTGAGGGGAAGGCGTTGCGAGATTGGCTGTCCGTCGTCGCAGCCCTCTGCACGTGGTCGTGTACTTCGAAGTCGGGCATGTCCCTCTACAGGAGGAAACCAATTCAAACATAGTTAAACAAATCCGGGGAATCTTGTTGGGTCAGTCATCTATATCTTTTATATATAAATATATGTGTATATATATATATATACATACACACCTATACGACCGCCCTGCGGGCGATAAGGAGGTTGGGGGGGATTGGGATCAAATGCCCACCCTGACTGACCTCCAGCCTGTCACCTTGATTTCATCTCTCTCTCTTTCTCTCTGTCTCTCTCTCTCTCTCTATCACTCTCTGTGTGTCTCTCTCTCTCTCGCCCTCTCTCTCTCTTTCCCTCTATATCAGAATCTCTCTCCACCAGAAAGGTGATCACGATCACGATGAGATCCCACTATCTACCTATCCGTCGACCGACCTATCGGTGAATCTCACTGTCGATCTCACTATCGACCTCAAAAGCAAAATGAGAAAGCCCGCCGCAGGCGCCGAACAACTATTTGTCGTCGGACAACCACAGGACAACCATCGGCACAACCACCAGACAACCATCAGGACAATCACAAGACAAACACGAGACAACCATCGCATACTAGGGAATACCTCTCTCTCTCTATATATATATCAGTCTCCCCCTCCACCACAATGATGGCAGTGACGATTGGTGATGGTTTGGATTGGAACATGGATTGAGTTGGATTGGGTTGGATGTATTGGATTGGGTGGGATCAGATAAGATTGGACAATATGGGTTTGATAAGAGATGATGGGTTGGATTTGACAAGATGGATTGGATAAGGTAAGCTGGATTGGATGAAAGCCCGCCGCAGGCGCCGACAAAAATTAATTGATGGATTGGGTTGGGTGGGTTGGATTGGATAGGATAAGATGGATTGGATAAGATAAGATGGGTTGGATTGGAAGAAATGGATTGGATAATATAAGATGGATTGGATTGGCCCACCGCAGGCGCAGAAACAAATGAATGATGGATTGGGTTGGGTGGATTGGATTGGGTGGGATAAGATGAGATGGGACAAGATGGGTTGGAGAGATAAGATGGGTTGGATTGGACAGGATGGATTGGATCAGATAAGCTGGATTGGATAAGAAAGCCCGCCGCAGGCGCCGAACAAAATGAATTATGAAATTAGCGTCATGTGTTAGCGCCAGGACGCCCGGGACACCCAGGACACCGGGGACACCGCCCGGCCATCTGAGACACCTCCCGGCCACCGGCGGACGGGAATCGGACTTTCGCTCCTACTGACACCCGGGACACCCGGGACACCGCCCGGCCCAACTGGGACACCTCCCAGCCACTGGCGGACGGGAACGGATTTTTGCTCGTATACTTCGGCCTAGTTACAGGAGGATCACGCGTAGCTTCGCCTCGCCCGCACGCACGACACGAACACGAAACCGAAACCGATTTCCTGGCGGGGGGTCTCCGTTTCACTGCGATCTCACCCCCCCACCTCCGATATTTATACATATATAGACACACAAGACTGCAATGGCGCTTCGCGCCATGCACCTTGGTCTTTGAAGTTTGCTATGCAGGCGGAATAGCACGACGGTCAAGCCGACAATTTAGAGATAATTCTTTGTTGCGTTTTCTGGCATCGCCGCTATAATAATGTTATTCGTTGTCCTTCCTCCATGCTTCTTTTTCCTTATTTTCGCCGTACCTTGCACATTCTCCCCATCCTCCTCAGCTCTTTTTGCGGAGGCTCCTCGTTGGAGAGCCTATGGGGGCCTCACACAAGTTGTTTCAGGCTTTCGTAAGGCCTTTTGGAGGCCTCCTGGGCGTATTCTGGGGGCCTCTGGGGACTTCCTCGGGCCACCCTGCCTCCAACCGCGGTCTCCCTGAACGACCGGGTTACGATTTGGAATGCTTCGGAGGGTGTCTTGGGGCCATCTTGGGCCGCCATGGGGCTCTCTGAGGGCCATTTTGGACCCGTGTTGTGCCGTTCTGGGGCTCTCTTGGACTGCCTGGAAGCCCTTTCGGATGGTTGTGGGGCGATGTTGGAGCCTCCCAGGCGGCTTCGGACGCCCAGAAGACCGCCGTCTTGGAGCATCGGGAAGCCGAAAAAAGGAGAAACCCAAAATTCAGCAAAAACCAACAGAACATCAAAGATTTGTGCCTCTTGGGGCCTTCTTGGGAGTGCTCTTGGAGGCCTCTTTGGGGCCGTCCTGGAGGCCTTTTGGGCCATCTTGAGGTCACGTCGGTCACTCTTGGAGCGCTCTTGTGCTGTCTTGGGGGTCTCTGGGACGTCTCCGATGACCCCCCTGATCGCCCTAGGTGTGCTGGGAAGGCTTGGCAAAACGCCCTGGGAGGCCCGGGGGGCCGCTTCGAGGCCCGTCCGGAGGGTCCCAAAGCCCCAGATCCTTGGAGTTCAGTTTTTTTTTGGGGGGGTGACGGGTTTTCCCCCCTGCCCGGGCTTGTAGAAATATAGGAAGAGGAATCTATATATATATATATATATATATATACATACATGCAGATTACTGTTGTTAGCGTTCGTGCAAAATCCGCCCGTAGGAGGACGCGCCCGAGCTCAGTGAGCTGGTGCATCGCAGGAGAAGCCAACATCCAAGGCGGGTCTGCGGGGGTCTGCGCGGGGGGCAGGGCGGCCCTCGGGGGGCCTTCCACAGCAAGCGGCCTCTCACACACTGCCGAGAGGACGGGGGTCCCAAGCGTCACTTCGAAGCGTTGAGACGGGTGTCAGTGCAAATGGAGGTCAGCCAGGCGGCCCTCGGGGGGCCTTCACAGCAATCAGCCTCACACTGCCGAGGACGTGGGTCCCAAGCGTCACTTCGAAGCGTTGAGACGGGTGTCAGTGCAAATGGAGGTCAGCCAGGACACCGGACCCTGCAGGGTCCTGCGAAGATCCCTCCTGGCTGACCCGGGTCAGCGAGCCGCTCGTGGCCGCCGCGAGGCGGCCGTGCATATGGGCTGACCCGGGTTCGTGAAGCCTTGCGTTGCAGTTTTTTCCTCCTGCATTGCAGGTTTTGGTTTCCTGCTGACTTGGGTCTGTTTGACCCTGGTTAGCAGGTTCCCGACGTCTCTTCGAAGCCCAGATTATGCTCGCAGGAGGTCGTCATGTCAGGTCCCTTGAGCGCGATAGCTTTTGTCAGCCCCTTCCCCCGTATGTAGGCTTCACGGGCTGCGCGACGATGTGCAAGTACGGCGGGGGCGTTGGTCAAGGAGTGTGCCCAGGAGTCTTCAGACCCTTATCTGATGTGGGCGGCGTTTATACCCATGGCCAATCCACGATTGGAGGTCCACCGGCTTCCAGAGCCTTGTCTTCTACGGGTTCCTTGTCCAATCCGAAGACAAACCAAAACACGCCATAAACATAAACTTCTGGCGCTCTGCGCGGATTTCTTTGATCCGCGCTGGGCCCCTCCAGCGCCGCTCCTGGCGCGCTCCGCGCGCCAGGGAAGGGGGTCCAGCGCAGAGCCAAGAGATCCGTGCGGAGCGCCAGAAGTTTCTGCTTATTGCCTTTTTCTCTTTTTCTACCCATGGTGATCGTTTTCTCACTCATTGTTTTGCCGATCGGCGCGGGCCCTCGCCCCACCTCTTCCCCCCCCAATGGAGTAGATCTGGGCTGTCTTTGGCGCCAGTTTCGAGCAGGTGCAGTCTCCCCATAGGACGCGCTGGCACAACCAGTCGCACTAGGCAGAGGTCCGGAGCTAGACCCCCCTTCCCCCCCCCTTCCACCCAATGTCGAAACGCCGAATAAGAAACCGGTCACATGCCCCACCCACATGGGGCGTCCCAAAAAGGGCCTTGTCTTCGCGAATAGAAGGAGTTGTCATGTCTTCCGGCGGAAGTAAAATGAGGGTGCCTCCGCCGGCGGAAGCCGGCGGAAGGGCGGCGGAAGGTGCCGAAAGTGAAAAATGCGCCCCCGAGAGAGATGGAAACACTTTTGGGTTCAGGGTTTCCGAAATCGCCCACATGCCTCCCCCAGAAGACGAGTCGGAGGCGAGCGCGGTGACCTCTGCCACCGCAGCCGCCCGTGAGCCCACCACGGCGGCGCGACACATCCATCCCTGGCTTTTCAGTCGGGCACGTCCCTCTGCAGGAGGAATATTCAACAATAGTGTCAAATAGCCTGGGGACGAGTTTCCTGTTTTTTGTTACCATGCTTGATTTTGTTTTGACTCTTTTCCATTTTCCTTCCAAACCCGCCTGTAGGAGGACGTGCCCGACCTAACCCTGGCCTCCCCTCGATGACTCTCCAAGCGGTCTTTCTCAAACACGCTGCTCGGGGGCAATTAGTGCGGTGACCACACCGCGATGCTGATCGTTTTCTTATTCATTGTGTTGCCGATCGGCGCGGGCCCTTGCACCCCCTCCCTCCCCAGTATTGAATAGGTGTTGGCTGTTTCTGGCGCCTCTTTCAAGCAGGTGGAATCTCCCCCATGGGACGCACTGCTGCAAACAGTCGGACCGGGCAGAGGCCCCGAGCCAGACCCCGCCCTTCCGCCCAATGTCGAAACGCCGCATCAGAAGACGTTCGCATGGTGAGTCAGTGTCGAGCGAAGATGGTTTGGCCACCGCCACGCTCGCGTGCCTTGCGCTGGATCAGCTTGTTCGTCGGGGTGGTGTACAACATTGGCGTCCCGCGGGGATGCCATTCTTGTACACGACACCCTTTCCACGGTCTTGTGCCAGACCAGCCTGTTTGCGGGGGCAGTGTCCAAAAGTCGTGTTCCCACAGTGGGGGATTCGGGTGACCGCACGGTTTCGGGACATGGGTCGTTCTCCGAGGATGTCTCCGGCGACTGGGAGCTCCGCGGTCCCCCAAAAAATGCAGGGACGGACCGTGTGGTGAGGTCGTTTGGGATTCCGAGGTCACCGCTTCTCGTCTGTCTTCGCACCGCCTTTCGCCGAGCGCGTTCCATTACTCGCCAAGTGCCTCATCGCAAACGCCCAGCAAACACATGCGCGCCTCGGCGAAATGGGTCGCACATCTCCCTCAGCGGATCCGGGCCGCTTGCGTGTCGTGGGACGCGCTCGTCTAGCCTTGGGACCCCCGAGTGGCGTCGGGACGACCCCGCAAAAAGTGCCGGGAAGGCGCCCGTCCCGAGGAGCAGCTCCGGCCGGGCGCCCCCTTCTCCCTGGACTTCTAGCGCTCGGCTGCGGGAGACCCGGCGCGCCGAGGTGGCCCCGAGCTAGCCAAGGGCGCGGGGGTGTGAGCAGCGGCCAAGCCTCCCGGCGTGCCTATAGTCCCACCAAAGGAACGCGCAATGGCCCCGGGCCCGGGGGAGAAACAGACAAGCAGGCAAGTATTAGGCTGCGCGCCAGGCTCACTCTAGCCTGGCTTGGAAGTAGCAGCCGCAAGGGAGGGAGAGGGCAAAGGAGGAGGAGGAGGAGGAGGAGGAGGAGGAGGAGGAGGAGGAGGAGGGGAAGCAAGATAGCCCCCTCGAGGGCTGAGTTGCGCTGAAGATAGCCCCTTCGAGGGGCAGCGGATCGGGCGGGCGGGCGTCGCGCTGGAAACAAAAAGTCCCACCAAAGAATGCTCTACGGATTTTCTGTGGTCTGCACGGACTGTTCGCAGAACACTTCTGGCCGAGACTGTCTTGCTGTCGCACCTCGGGCTTCTGCTCTGGGAGCACTGATATGTTCTCAGAACACCTCTGGGTTCCAGGACCATGTCGTGGCAGGCCGAAGGAACTGCCGGGGCAGTCTGTCCCTGCTCGGCCAAGGGCGCCGGGGGGGGGGGACCCTGGTGGCCCCGTCGCAGAGTGCCCGGCGGCGCAGCGCAGAGGTGGGTCTGCTTGGGAGCCGCGCGCGCGCGAGCAGGTCAGAGATCGGGCAGGTGAACGTTGTTGATGCCCTGTTCTGCCGATCGGCGCGGCCCCCCAAAGCCCCTCCCGCCCCCCCCCCCCATGGAGTAGTTCGGATGCAACTCCTGGGAGGTCAAATTCTGATTCTGCCCTGGTCCGAAATCCAGCTCAATCCCGCTTAATCCCGTTCAATCCGGCTTAATCCAGCTTATTCCGAGGTCCACTCTGGCGTAACAGCTCCCAAGTGGGCCTTAATCCTCCTTAACTTTCCGACGAAAACCTCCCAGTAGTTGCCTCCTAAGAGTAGAGCTTGGCTGTTTTTTGGGCGCCTGCTTCGAGCGGGCGGGCCTCCCCCAGAGGCAGCACTCCTGCAAACAGCCGCACTCAGCAGAGGTTCGGAGCGAGACCCCCCCCCTCCCCCCCCTCCCTTTCCGCCCAATGTCGAAACGCCGAAGAAGAACAAGTCGCTCACCAGATAGGTTGGAGGATGCCGATGCCGCCGCCAGTCCCTCGCTGCCACGGGTGGATTCGCCTCGCAATCTTGGTCAGAGCGCACCCCTGGAGATGTCCAGGGGGCAGCGGTCAGCGCGTGTCCCCGTGCCGAAGCGGGGGAAGGACGGCGGGGCGCTCTCGGCCTCTCGAGATGACCCCCCGTCGCCGGCGGGGGTATCCACATCAATATTTGGGATCGTCGCACACGTCGAAGCGTACAGTGAAACGCTATTTGTCATGACGAGCACCTTGATGAATAGGACACAAGGGCGAGAACGACTCAGGAAACCTCGAACCCAAAACAGAGCATCGCGTTAAGGACAGAGTTGTACTTCCGCTAGCTTTCACCTAACTTCCATCGACTGATGCCGGTTGGTTAGCATATGCCTCACTTCCGTTGGCGTGTTGACATTTTTCGTTTGGGGATGCGTAACCTTTCGAACCCTCGAAGACGAGGCTGGTGTTCGAGGATGGGGCCGAAGAACATGAACAGGCTGACGGCGTGTGAGCCCAAGCAGAGGAGCGGGCACAAGAGCAATCACGGGAATGGCATTGGAGGGGGGTTGTGGGCGCGACGTTGTGGGCGAGACATTTGGGCGGGCATGTGCTTACAAGCGTGAAACTTATTCTTACCCGTTTCAGTGGTATCTCCTTATCTCGGTGCTGATCGTAAGGATTCTTTCAGTTATTGAAGGCACATTCCTGAGCCTGTCATCGCCATCGGCCTGTCGATCTTCCGGATAGGGTTACGCTCGAGGTTGTTTTTTTTTTTTTTGCGAAGGAAGACACGAGCCAGGAGCCCGCGTGTGTAGGACCCCGGTGGGCGAGACTTCCGACAACAACATATACACAGACACCCTCTGTTGGCTTTTCTTTGTCCCCAGTGGAGGGTGGGTGTGTGTAGATCGCCACTGGAGGTACGTGCGGAATTCGTCGGAGGGTGCCTGTGTAGTAAATTACGAGACCTCACGGACGGAACCTTTCTGAAGATGAGGCCTCACGGACGGAACCTTGCTGGAGCCCGCGGACGGTCTTCGCGCGCCCACGGCCAGGGCCCCCGCGGACAGGCACCGGTCCATGCTTCGCGAGTCCTTGAGCTTGCTGCAAAAATCTGAAACGAATGTGTGTGGCGCAATGGCGAGAGCGACAGTTTGAAAAAGAACAGCGGCAACCGCGCGTGGGCACCGGACCCATGCCCGCGGCGGCGCGCGGAGGGCTGGCGGCTGGCGGCCGGAGGGTCCCAGGGTGGATGTGATGGCGAAGGCGAAAGAGGCGAGAAGGGTGACCATGATGATGATGATGATGATGATGATGATGATGATGATGATGATGATGATGATGATGATGATGATGATGATGATGATGATGATGATGGTGATGGTGATGATGATGATGATGGTGATGGTGATGATGATGATGATGATGACGATGGTGATGGTAATGGTGATGGTGATGGTTGTGATGACGTTGGGGGCATGAAAAGCAGGCACGCACCGATAACGAGGGCCGTTGAAACGACGAACGACACCACCCTACCTGCCGCCCTTCATGTTGCGGTGCGGCCCATCGGGGGCCGCAGCCTGCAACCGTGCAGAAGCCCACGCCAGACGTCCCAGCATACGCTCAAGCCGGGCCTGTCCTTCCACAGGGGGGATCTTCAAAAATAGTGGAAAAATGATATGGGGATGATTTTTCTAGCATTTTCTGACCAGTTGGAGGTGCTTTTCTACTATTTCTAATTTTTCGTCCAAAATCCCCCTGTAGGTGGACAGGCACGACTTAAGCATACGCCGCGGCCCGTGGGGCCGCAGGTGGGGTGGTGCCGCCTGTTTTCTGGCCCCGAGGGGGCGGCGGGGCAGATGGGGTCTGGCTCGAGCACCAGAGCCCCCAGGGGCGAGGCAGCGGCCCGCCCCGCCCCGGCGAGGCCCATGCTCGGCTGCTGCTCCGGGCAGCAGGGCCTTGCCGGGGGCAGCGCCGTCGAGGTCGCGGCCGCGGCGCCCCCGCCAGAGGCACGGGGCCTCGAAGCCAACAGGCCTCCAGCCTGAAGTCGGGCCTGTCCCCCTACAGGAGGAATGCTCAAGAGAAGTCAACAAAAAAGTCAGGGGACGATTTGTTTGACCAGGTTCGAGAATTTTGGAGCATGTTTGGGGTATTTTTCATGTTCCGTCCAAAATCCGCCTGTAGGGGGACAGGCCCGATCTAACTCCAGACGTAGCCAGGAACGTTTGCTTCGCGTGTCGCTCCGTCGATTCTGATCCACCGCCGCCTCCGCGCGACGCGCTTCCCACATCGCAGCCCCCGAGAGTCAACGTCTTGAGCCCTTCCCAGCCTCCCGCCACGCGGGACAGAGCGACACGCCATGAGCTTGCAGGGCATGGCGTCTAGCAGGAGGGGGCGCCGCGGCGACGCGCGACGCAGAGCTCCCGACCGCAATCTCAGAGTTCGGCGGTGTCGTCCGAGTGGGTTACACTCTGGTCTTTGGTGGCTCATAGGCAGCACAAGCTGTGCGGCTGGCGCCAGGAGGTCGATGCCACCGTGCCAGCAGGGGGCATCCGAAGGCATTTCGATGTCCCTTTCTGGGGCCGCGCGCTACGTGATTGACGAGCAATGCGACGCCTTGGGACGTGCGTCTTATGAACATGCGATTCCAGCGAGGGCGCGAAACATCAAGTTATCGCAATCTACGCGACATGAAATAATGCGAGGCAAAGTGGAGCAATGCAAAGCAACGTAAGTCAATGCAAAGCAAGTCGACGCCACATGGCGCCAAGTATGGCATCGCCACACTTGGTGGGCGCGACATATGACACCCAACAAATCTGCGGTAATTCTACCGCAGCCCATGGCACAATCCATGGGTGCAACCTATGTCCAAAAACAGTATTTGGTACCCCACCGCACCTTATGGCGTAGCCCATGATCGCAATTTATCGTGCCCAGCAATTATGCGCCCCCTATGAACCCAAGGCGCAAACCATGAGCGAAACTCCAATCCTTGAGTAGAAAGTAGGGCACCACAAAGTACATTATAAGCACTGTTTAGCTAGAGTAGCGCGCATCTTATGCATGTCCTATTGTTGCCCGCTTCCTTGTTCGTGGGACGAATGCGCCACGAAATGCGAAGAGCCCGACCAACACAGCACCAGGGTGCATTGGGGAAGCTGTTCTAGGCAGAAGCAACTTTGACACATGCCTGAGAGCCTTGAAGGGCCACTGCGGTCAAGCCATTTGCCGCGGAGCGCAGGCCCCACGTCTTCTGGAGCACGACTCGTTGGCTTCTCCATGACCTGTAGAGGAAGTGCGCTCCTCGCCCCTCCCTCCCTGCGTACCCCCTCCCCTCCCCTCCTCTCGCCCAACGAAGTGGGCGGGAGACAGTATAAAAAGCAAGATCCCCGCCTCCTCTCGAGGGTCTCCGGCGCCCTGCACTTCACGACGACGGCCCCCCGAGCTCTTGATCCCGCTCCCAGGACAGGCCTCTCCGTCGCGGGCCGCTCGGCCGATGGCCCTTGAGCCCGAGGGCGACCCCCCGAGACGCCCAATAGCCGCGAAGAGGCGCCATCTCGCGATCTGCTCGCGACGCCCGGAGATCCCTTCCGCCTCTTCCTGGGTGGGTCCACTTCGGCTACGCCGACGCGTGGTGCGAACCCAGAGCGGGTCCCCCGAGCTCTCGCCTGCAGGCTTGGATCTGGCGCCCCCGCGGCCCCCCGAAAGCCGCGCACCCCGCGCGCCGAAGGTCACTCCTGCCGACTCTCCTGCCACGGCCCATGGGGAACAGCAACTTGTGCATGTAGCCGACTTTTCCTCTGGGCTTCGCGACTTGCTCGTGAAGCGAGGAGGAGGTGGAGGAGAAGGAAGAGGCAGCGGAGGAGCTGGAGGGGCTGGAGGAGCTGGAGGAGGAGGAGCTGGAGGAGCTGGAGGAGCTCGAGGAGCTCGAGGAGGAGGAGGAGGAGGAGCCCTCAGTCGTCGGAAGAGCGCGGGGGCGGAGGCTCCCCCTCCCTGCGGCCCCCGTGGGTCCCCCGGTGGGGCACTTCTCGGGCGACCCTTGAGACGTCTCGAGGCCTCGCCCACTGGGCGTGCGCAGGACGGGAATGATCAGGAGGGGAACAAACACACAGACACAATCAAACGTCGGACCCCCGGAAAAGATGGGAACAGATGGGAAGTGGGGAGGGGAAGGCGAACAACAACTAGAAATTGTAGGAAAATCTGAGGGATCTTGGGATTCGTGCTAATCTGTTTGTGTGTCCCTGGGCCCCTTGACGGGGCGCTCTCCGAGTGCTCTGGAGCGCTCTGGGGGCGGTCGCGGCGCTCCGGAAAGAGCGCGCTCCGTGGACGCTGGAAATTTCATTGGGGGGGGGTCGAACCAGGGTGGCGGGGGGCCCTCCCCCTCGAGAGGAGGAGGAGGAGGAGGAGGAGGAGGAGGAGGAGGAGGGAGGAGGAGGAGGAGGAGGAGGAGGAGGAGGAAGAGGAGGAGGGAGGAGGAGAAGAAGAGAGGAGGCGAAAGAAGAGGGGGAGGAGGAGGAGGAGAGGAGGAGGAGGAGGAGGGACGAGGAGGAGGAGGAGGAGGAGGTTTAGGGGGGCCCTGAGATGCAAGGGGGGAGGGGGTCGAGCCGGGGGGAGGGGGCCCGCTCCTCCTCGAGCAGCGGGGGTGGGGAGGGGGTGCGACCCTCCCCCCCGAGTTGCAAGGGGGGCGGCTCGAGCCGGGCCACCCCCCTCTCTCCAGGGTGCGGGTGTTCGCCCCCCCCCCTTTGTCTCCCCTTGAGAACTGCAATGGGAGGGGTCGAGGCGGATCCCTCGTCCTTCTTTGCCATCCATTGGCAAACGACGACGAAGGTGCCGACGACGACGACGACGACGCCGACCACGACGACGACGACGACGACGACGCAGACGACCACGACGAGGACAACGACGACGAAAGTGAAGATGACGCCAACGACGACGACGACGACGGCGACGACGGCGACGACGAAGACGGCGACGACGACGACGACGTCGACGATGACGCCGACGATGACGACGGTGGCGACGACGACGACGACGACGACGACGGCGACGGCGACGGCGGCGTCGACGAAGTACGAGCCGATGGCCTTCGGCTGCGACGGCTGGCTCGATGGGAGGAGAGTGGAGGAGGGTGGACGATAGAGTAGCATCGGATATACCATGTGCAGTACATGAGAGTAGCGTAGAGTAGAGTAGAGCACAGTAGAGTAGAGAAGAGTAGAGTAGGACTAGGATTGGAGCGGAGCAGAGCAGGAGCGAAGTGGAACATTAATGTTGAGAAGAGAAGAGAAGAGTAGGACTAGAATTGGAATGGAGCAGAGCAGTAGAGTGGAGTCGGTCATAATAGCGTACAGTAGGGTCGAGTAGAGTAGAGTAGAGTAGAGTAGAGTAGAACAGAGTAGAGTATCTAATGGCCTTCGGCCCATCCCCCCACCGTGCCTGGGCTGTGGGTATTGGCCCATTGGATGTTCGCTGGGATCTCGTGGGGGGGCGGGGCCTCTCGGGGGCCTCTTGGAGGCAGTTTTGATGCCTCTTGGGAGTAGTTGTGGTGCCTCTTTGGGTCTCTTCTGGGCCTCTTGGGGGCCTCGTGGAGCCTCTTGGATGAGGTCTCTTGGGGCCTTTTGGGGCGGAAGGTTTGGATTGTCGGTTCGGGTTCCCTCTCTTGTGCCCGTTTTGGGGCCGTCTTGGGCGCCTCTTGGGTCGTCTTGGGCGCCTCTTGGGTCGTCTCGGGGCGTTCTTAGGCTGTCTTTGGGCCCTCTTGGGGGCCTCTTGGGGTGATCTTGGGGGCCTCTTGGGCCGACCTGGAGCGTCGGAAAGCCGAACAGACGAAACCGCCAAACTTCCTACAGAACCGAAGGAATATCAATGACTTATGCCTTTGGGGCCCCTCTGGGCGACCTCTTGGATGCCTCTTGTGGCGTTTTGAAGGCTTCTTGGGTCATCTTTCGGTGATCACATAGCTGATGAGGAGGAGCAGGAGGATGAGGAGGAGGAGGAGAAGGAGGGGGAGGAGAAGGAGGAGGAGGAGGAGGAGGAGGAGGAGGAGGAGGGCGAGCAGAATGATTGGACGCTTCGTGGATGCCTCTCGGCGTCTCCCAGGTTGTCTGTTGAGCGCCTGTATGCTCCTTGGATCGGCTTGGGAACCCTGTGGCGGTCTCGAGAAACTCTTGTGGTGTCCTGGGTGCATCTTGGAAGCTTATTGGGGCATTTTGGGGGGGCCTCTTGGACGCATGTTTAGGCCTTCTGGAGGCTCGTTGGGGTCTCTTGGGCGCCCCGTCCTACTCCCTCCTCCCACCTCCTTCCTCGACCTGGACGGCAAAGTGCGGCCCAGCAAGGTCGCGTACCAGAGGTCGCGTATCATCACCGACAGGTCGCGTACCGCAGGTCGCGCACCATGAGACTGAAGGGCGCGTACCACAGGTCGCGCGCCACAGGTCGCGACTTGCCAGGCATCTGGGGGGCGTCTGGGGGGCATCTTGGCGGGCCCGAGGGTCGTTTTTGAGCGTTTAGGGTGCCTCGGGGATCCTCTTGAGGCTTCTTGGGGGTCTCTTGGGGGCCTCTTGGAGGCCTCTTGGAGCCGCCTGGGCGCCTCTCAGAGCCCTCTTGGGGCGCTCTTGAGGGCTTATGGGGCGCTCTTGGAGCCATCTTGGAATACATCGATCAACACAGAAGGGGGGCTTTAATTAGCGCTGGTGGGGATACGTTTTTTGGTACGCGGCTCCAAGGCAAATGTCAGGGAGCGGACGCAGCGTCCGGGATGCGGTACGGAGCGAATTTGCGAACACAGCCGCCACTGTCGACAGCCGTTCGCACCTGCAAGACATGCTCGCAGTTGCACATGCGCAGTACAAAATGAACTTAATTCGCACACAAACCCACACAGGCGCAGCAGCGAACCGGAGGGCACGAGCTACAAGTTCGAAAACAGCAGAGTGAGTCGCCATTGCGGCGCCAGACTCAAGCTGACAGTGCGAAAGCGAGAGCGAGCGACCAGCACACACAA